GTCAACATCCGCTGCTCCAACAAGTACTTCAAGCTCCTCTGATTGGTTCTGACAATAAAGTGCCTACCTAACAAGTAGGGTCGCCGTTTCTGGATGGCTAAGATGATGACCATCAATTCCCTCTCATAGATTGATTTGAACAGGGCTCTGACTGTCAACACCTGATTGAAGTAGGCAATGGGTCGGCGATTCTGTATAAGTATTGCCCCCAGTCCGTATTCAGAAGCATCCGTCTCCACTATGAAATCCTGAATGAAATCTAAGATTGGTACAATAGTCATAGCCTTCTTTAGTCTCTTAATTGCTGTTGTAGCCGCCTGTCCCTATAAGAACTCATCTTTCTTCAGCTGCTCTGTTAGAGGCCATGCTATAGTGATATATCCTTTCACAAACCTCCTGTAGTACCCCGTCAATCCTAAGAATCCCCTCAACTCCTTCAGATTCTTAGGTAAGGGCCACCTCAGCATAGCCTCAATCTTGGACTGATTCGTTGCCATCCCTTCTTTGGACACAACATATCCTAAATACTTCACATTAATCTAGGTAAAATAACACTTTTTCTGGTTGGCCCTCAGTTGACGTTCCTGTAGAACTCCCAAGACCATCTTCAAGTGCTCCCTATGCTCGTCTTCAGTTTTGCTGTACGCCAATATGTCATCAAAAAATTATCAAAACAAACTTCCGGAGGTACTGTCTGAATACCCTGTTCATCAGTGACTGGAAAGTAGCAGGGGTGTTGGTAAGCCCAAACGACATTACCAGAAACTCATAATGCCCCTCGTGTGTCCTGAAAGCTATCTTGGAGATGTATGCCTCCCTCATTCTGATCTGGTGGTACATAGACTTCAAATCTAGTTTGGAGAACATCACTGCCCCGTTCAATTCATCCAAGAGCTTGTCAATCACAAGAATTGGAAACTTATCCGACACTGTCTCCTTGCTCAAAGATCTATAGTTTACACAAAATCGCCAGCTTCCATCCTTCTTCTTGACCAATATGACTGTATTAGAGAAAGGACTCACACTCGGCCTGATGATCCATGCCTCCAGCATCTCACAAATTAGTTTCTCAATCTCATCCATCTGAAATTGAGGATGTCGGTAGGGTCTGATATTGATGGGTGACACATCTTCCCTCAAGGCGATGGCGTGCTCCTCCCTTAGTGTTGGCAATCCCTGAGGTGGCTTAAACACCTACTGGAATTGCTGAATCAATGATTGTATTGAGAGGGGTATATCCCCTCCCTCCTCCACTCTAGCTCCCTCCAAACTGTGCATCTCCACCAAAAATCCTTCACCCACCACTTGTATATTCCTTACCATAGTCTTAAGAGAAACCATGGATTTGAATAACCCTGCATCTACTCTTATCACCACCTTCCTCCCATCCACCATTAGCTCCATTGTGAGTGCTCTCCAATTAACCTTGGTGTTTCCCAAGGTTTGCAATTACTTCATCCCCATGATAATATTTGTACTCCCTAACTCTAGTGGAATAAAATCTTCCATCACCTGAATCCTTTGGATAGTCAGTAGCAATCCCTTACAGATCCCCTAGCCTTTCTCCACCTTTCCCGTACCCATCATCACCTCATATCATCCAGTATCCACCAATTTCACTCCCAATTGGTCGACTACCTGAGTAGAAATGAAATTATGGGTAGCTCAGCACCACCACTTCCCTGTCCTCTATCTCCCCATTCACCTTCATGCTATGATTCGTACTGAATCCTACCACTGAGTTCAGAGAAATCTCAGCCAGATGTAAATGCAGCTTCTTCTCTATCTACTCTTCTCTATCTACTCCTCTAACTCTCCCTCACCTCCCTCAATTTTCTCGTCATCACAGACAGTGAGAACCTGAAGAGTTTGGTCCTTTCACCTGCGCCCTGGAGTGTACTTCTCACCACACCTGAAACACAACCCCTTTACCCTCTTCTCCTGCATCGCCTTCTCTGTCAGCCTCTTGAAGTTTCCCCCGCTCCATCCTCCTACTGTCTTCTCCCAGATGGTCTCCCGAATTCCTCCTGTTGCAGGACCCTTAGGTGCTAGATGGGTGATCGTCATCCTGTAAGTTTCTCTTATGTTGCTACTCCTGGCTCCCCTCTCTAGATTCTTCTGATTTTCAACTAGTTGTGCCAACTTCATGGCATCCCTCAAGTCACGAGGCATCAGAACCTTCACTGCCGCTCGTATGTCTGCCTTCAACCCCTTCATGAAGTTCCCATCAAATACAGTTTCTGATAATCGCTCCATCCTACTAGCCAGGTGCTCAAACCGCTTTACGGTAGTCTGCTACTAATCCCTCCTGCACTAGAGCAAATAACTGCTCATAGAAATCTCCTCCTCAGTCGGTTTGGAAACGTTCTATTATGTAATTCTTGAATTCTCCCCAGCTTCTGATGAGTCTCCTCGGGTCTCTCCACTGGTACCATGATATCGCTTTTCTCTCCAAACATAAGCCTGCTGCTGCTAGCTTCTCCTCCTCCGTTAGCCCATTGACGGCGAAGTGCCTTTCCACCTTATAAATCCACTCATACGCATCCTCCCCTTCGAATATGGACATTTTCAGCTTCCACACCTTCTGATCTCCCCTATTTCCCCTTATTCATCCATAGCTCCCCTTTTCCCAAGTGCTTGGCTCTCCCCATGTCTCCGGGTCTTTCCTTGCTCTGTCATAACCCAGACCCCCTTCAAATTCCCCTCTCCATCCTTCAAATTCAACACCTCGGCGGCCATAATGTCCCTCCCGACATTCCCAATCAGCACTTCTTTGCTCCGCCCCTCCATAACCATACCTTTTCCCCCTACCTACCTCCTCCATCCTCCCTCTGGAAAGGCTCCATATAGAGTTTTCTTCTTTCTCCCTCTAAAATCTCCTCCTCATCTTCCTTTCTACGAATTTTAGAATTCGTGTTTTTCTCTTCCACCCCTTTTGCCACGGAAGCCGTTGTTTGGTTGTGGATTTCCAACATTTTCTTCATCATGTCCCGGGGATTGGCTACTTGTCCTTCCATGGAGGAAATCCTTTCCTTCACCGTTGTCTTGATTTGGTTCATCCCCCCTTCAAGCTTTCTTCTAGTGCATCTACTTTCTTGGCCATCATCTCTATCCGGATTGTAGATTCAAAAATTCTGGATTTGAATTACAAAAACAACAACTTTCCCCTTTCCTGACCAAAAATCAGCCTTTGAAATTCGCCAAAATCAGCCCACGAACGGTCCCAAGATTTGCTCTGATATTAATTTGATAGGAAATACTTGAGTTTGCAATTAATCCAAGAGGAAATACTTGAGTTCTCAAGCAACCATAGCAATAATTGGACAAAACAGCGAGAAAAAAAAGAAAATATGGAAGAAATTATTCTAAAAACGATAGATTGCAATAGTAGAATCAAAGCAAAGCAAACTCAAAGTAAGATACAATTGATCCTCTATTCAAGAGGAGGATCGTCTCTCCCAAATCATGCATAACACTAACCCTAATCCCTCCTCCCATATTTAAAGCATTCAATTAATTATTTAAAGCCAAATTACTCCCTTGCCCTTGCTGCCCCCTCATTTGCCTCCAATCCCTTTGAATTTGAATCCCTAGTGGGCCCCACTCCTTCCACTCTCATTCGACTCTCTTTATGCCGCCGCTGCCCCTCCTATAGCAAGGAACCGGCCTCTTCAAAGAGGCCGGTTGGGGTTGGGCCGGTCCACTAGGGACCGGTCTAATAAGTTCACTCACACTAGGAGCTGCTTGACTTCAGGAAAATAGTTGGTGGTTCACGCATGGGATGAGAGAGCTATAGAGATGCAATATTTTGCGCACAAATGCTACAGGAATGCTGTTGCATGAACGCATGATATGCTACACTCGGAATTAATCCATAGGAGTGTAGGATCCAACTGCAGAACTAAATAGAACTGATGAAACCAATCACTTAACAATACTGCATGGAAGGTGAACTAGAGCGTGAGAAATTATGACAAAAGAGAACACGTCCAATTCCCATAAGCCACATCATGACAAGCATTCTTTAACAATTAAATTTAAATCAAAACAACTAAGGGACTTTGACATTATGAAACAAACTTAAAGCATTGTTCAGATAAAAAATTTACTCATTTCCAATGAGTGTAAGCTTGTAGATCTCAATGCCGTCCCTTATTTTACTTGGTTTTTTTTGGCAAGTAAGATGAAGATCCAGCTTATTAGCCAGGTCATACCTTGTTTCATTTGGTTCATTTTTGGCCACTTGTTACTGGCCATTCTGAATGCTTTGAGATTCAGACCTTTGAGATTTAAGGTAATTGGCCTCAGTATTTGTGCTTTCGTGGGGTTTTTTTTGATGTATCCAACAAGTATCTATTTGATCTTGTTTTTTTTTTCTGTCATAAATGTGCATATGCAAAAATGGTAAAACAAGTAAAACTTACAGGAGGCAAGCTGGAAGTTTATATGATAACCGTGGATTCAGTTCAGACCTGAATTAATGGATATAAGCTTTCTATGAAAAGTAAGCGTGATGTTGGGCAGAGAGTTTTTTTATAGCTAGTTTTATGTGACATGTATTTTATTTTTAGCTTCATTGGTTATGGCCCCTTTTTTTGATTTTAGAAGGCATAATTAAGCGATATCTTACTAAATTATTTACTTATTTCTTGTTTGTTTCTATTTCAGAGATTAAGGCGTTAGTCTTTGCTGTTGTAATTGTATATAATCGTTTTGATGTTTTTTTTTTTCCTTTTGATTCAATATCAAATTTCTTTATATGCCTATGCAATGCATGCTTTGAACTGCTATGTTTTTTTATATACATATATTTTCCATAGCCACCACTCCCTCTCTGCATGTAATTTTGTTCGCTTGGTAAGAAACACAATATGTTGCAATGAATTATCTAATATTTGTAGAAGTTTTTTGTTATGGTTTACTCCTAATTCTAATCTTTGCTTATTATTTCTTGCGGGGTTATCACCAATGACATCTGCACTTGCGAACCACAATTTTAGACTCAATTTGCTAAAGCACGTGAGCAACAGCAGCAACCCCATCAGCCACAGCAATTGCTACAGCAACAGCAGCAACAAATGCAACAACTTTTGTTACAAAGGCAAGCGCAGCAGCAGCAGCAGCAACAACAACAACAGCCGCAACGTAGGGATGGTGCTCATCTTGTAAATGGCAATGCAAATGGGCTTGTTGGTAATGAATCCTTAATCCGGCAGAATCCTGGTGCAAATGCTATGGCAACAAAGCTGTATGAGGAACGACTTAAAATGCCACTTCAGAGGGATTCTTTAGAGGAAGCATCCATAAAGGTATTCATTATGCTTTGTTAATATCTTTTTTTTTTCTAACTTTTTTTTTGTTAGTTATTAATTTCCTTTTATCAGCAGAGATTTGGTGATAATGTGGGTCAGCTTTTAGATCAAAATCATGCTTCTTTACTGAAACCTGCTACATCGTCTGGACAGGGTTCAGGGTATCTTTCTTTAAGCTTGACTGTATAAATATTTATTTGGTCTTCACCTCTATTATACTGTAAGCTGTGGAGGACCTTTACGTATGTTTGAAATTCCATTATCTAATTTTAAGGTTCATAATATTTTAGTTACATATGCCTTTGAATGCTTGCACATCATGTATGTATGCCATTTGTGATCTGTTTCATATTTTTAAATATCCAGGCAAATTATATCTGGTTCAGCTGGTGGTTTGCCAGGAAGTTTGCAGCAAGTCCAGTCTAAAAACCTACAGCTCCCAGGATCAACACAGGTTAGCTTTTTTGTTATTATAACACTGGAGATATGCCCTTGTTAATGCTGGTCCTGTATTGAATGAGTATAGGACATCAAAACAGAGATGAACTCTTCGCTGAATTCCAGAGTTGCTGGACCTGATGGATCGTTTACTGGAGCACCGGGTAAGCAGTTTTTAGATCTCCTAGCTACATTTTAGGTTATTCAAGTTTTATATGGTTTATTTGAAGTTGCATGTTCTTGTTTCCAGCTAACTGAATGTTATGAAGCACGACCACTGACATGACGTGGCCATGATGACACTACATAATTATATTAGGATATGTCAGTTCATGCACACAGCACTATATTTCATATATTATTAAAACAAAATATGCAATTTACAGTATTTTCTACTAATGGCATTACCTAATGTAGTTTCATATACATGCACATCACAAAACTAGCATAATAATAACAAAAGAAAAAAAAAACTCTATTAATAATAAAAGAAATGCTTTGTCACATATAACAAATGTCATTTGTTATCAACATTCCATCATTCGCATTGATTAATAATTGCCACTTGTTACATATTTTGTGTGCCTATTGATATTTCATGAATGTGTTCTTGGTCATACGTTTATCCTTGACTGTTTTGCATATACTCATTGCATCTATATACTTTTTCTTTACCATTTTGTCTCTACCAATGTTTTGTTGTCTTTTCTTGCCAATTGTCATTATGTCTTATACTTTCTTTTATCATAATTTAGAAGCTAACTGCTTTCATTCTGCTTTTACGTATTATGCAATGTAAAGAATTGTTTTTTTAACTTGTAATGATATTTCATGTCTCTTTTGAACTATTTTATAGTTTGCTTAAAGATAACGCGTGCTGTTACTTGTGATAAGTTGACAACAACTGGTCTCTATTATTTTCTTAAGAACTTCCTGCAATTTCTTCATGCAAAAGATTTTGCTGATGTGCCTGAAAAACTGCTCATATTCTACATTTTCGCTTGCATTTTTATGTTGCACCTGAAATAATAAGATTTGTTGTATTCAACAGTGTGACTCCTATGAAGAATGTGTATTCACATAGCATCAAGTACATACCATATTCTAAATATGAATGTATTAATAAGTTTCTAATATAAGTTTTTTTCATTAAAGTCACATGCAGTATACAGTCCAAGATATCATGTGTATCAAATAAAAATTTATGGAACCTGAAATGAACATACATTGGCTTTATCTACCAAGTAGTAAAACTTGCACTCATAATTTTGGCAATGAAGGTCGGTGGTTGGAACATGCATTTCTCAGAATTCTAGCAATGAAGGCTAGTGGTGGTGATGGGGACATCAGATCATCATGGAAAGTTTACCTGAGACGTGGCCGCCAATCTACGACCACGATTGAGTCTTTAAATTTTTGAGTCATCGATGTATTTTATTTTCATGCATTTTGTTATTTGCTTATGGTTGTTTTCTTATTTTCCGATTGTACCCCTCTTATGGGAGTTGTCATGTGTAAGCCCAAAGGGCATTTGTGTCATTTTGTTTTGAGTCATTTGTATGAGGCTATTTAAAGCCTCCCTTTGTTCTATTTGAGGTTAAGGAATGATGATGAGAATTTCTTCCTACACTTGAGTTTGTGAGTTTTGAGAGTTCTTGGAGAGCTTTGGAGAGATCCCTTGGAGAGGGAGATAGGCGCATCACCCACCAACCTTGGAGATGGCCGGGTTCGTGGTTTTACCTTCTTATCTTATAACCACCTCATCGTCGAACTTCCCCACCCTCCACTTCTCACCGCCAGCCATCTCACCCGATCATTCCCCTCTCCCAAACCTCTCGGTCTCCCTTTACCCGAGAAACTCCCACCTTGCCGCCACCATTGCCCCATAAGCCGTCGGCCATAGATCCTGGCCGCCGACCATCCCTCTTCATCCCCCCTTTGATATGTTCCCTATTTCTGATTTGGTATATTTTGGAATACAATTGAATTTGAATTCAAAATATTTGAATTTCAAAATATTTCCTAATATACTAATTCTAGCTAGTAATTTTATTCTGAACTTATTCTAATCGAAGAGTTGTGCAAAGCCTAAATGAAACTCATAAACATTGCATCTAAGTAGTCCTGCATCAGGTGGGAACCTATATTCCTCATAATTCCTGCAGTGGAGGCCGGTGGTGAGAATTTGGCTATGATACCATGTTAAAATTAGAAAATTTGAGAGGGAAAATGCATGATATTATTACCAAAAACTATCCCTATTTATAGATATATTAAGATATCTTAATAAAGAAACAAATAACTACAGAATCATGTTTAATTGCCTGATTGGAAATACTTGATTTGAAGTATTTCCTATTCACCTTTACAACAATTCTCAGTGCAAACTGCTGTCCACAGCAGGAAAATAGCCAAAACAGTAGAATAACAGAGAAAAACTGAGAGAAATTTGGAGAAAAGACTTGTATTTTACTAGTAGATGCAAGGAAAATAGCAAAGATACAAGGATCCTCTATTCGAGAGGAGGATCACACTCTCCTAATTTCTAGAATTCGATTTAGAGCCCTAGCCACAAAAGAAGAACATGAAAATTTCAAAGCAAATTTCACATAACCCTAATATATTCTTTTCCCCCTACTTAATGGATACAATTCAAAAATAACACAAAAGGACCAAATAGCCCTTGCTTCCACTCCTTTTGACTCCAAGAAAGTATTTGAATCTCAAGTGGACCCCACTCTTTCCCCCTCCTTTGAGCCTGCCGGCCTCCTCCCGCGGTAAAACATCTAGACCGGCTAGACTGGTCCATGGAGTACCGGAGGACCGGTCTAACATTACCGCCCTCCCAAAGAACCACCTTGCCCTCAAGGTGGAAGTCAGGAAACTGTCGCTTCATCCGCTCGTATGGATCCCACGTGGCCTCGTAGTCAGGGAGGTTCTTCTATTTGATCAGGACTTCTGTGGCTCCATCTGCTTTCGAACGAACCTCCATGAGCTCCAAAGGTTCCAATATCATTTCCATTTCATTTGTTAATGTCCCTGGTAACTCAGAACTGGCAGCATAATCTCCAATGGCTCTCTTTAGCTGAGATACATGGAAAACCGGATGGATCGTCGTTGTCGGTGGTAGCTTCAGACGATATGCCACGGCTCCAATTTTCTCCAGTACTTTATAAGGACCGAAGTGCCTTGGAGCAAGCTTCTCATTCCTCCGGTTGGCGATCGTTTTCTATCGATATGGGCAGAGTTTTAAAAATACCTTCTCGCCCACCTCAAATTGAATATTCTTTCGATGCCCATCAGCTTGTTTCTTCATAATCTATTGAGCCCTCAACAGATGTCTTTTTAACTCTTCAGTGTCTTATCCCTCTCCTCCAAATACTCCTCTACTGAAGACATAGGTGTGCTGCTACTCCCAAAATACACCAAGTGGGGCAGATCCATTCCGTACAACATCTTAAATGGGGTCATCTGAGAGGCTGAATGAAAAGAGGTGTTGTACCAGTTCTCAGCCCATGATAGCCATTTAGCCCATAACTTGGGTGTTTCTGATGCGAAGCATCTCAGATAAGTCTCCAAGCTCCGATTGACTACTTCTGTTTGACCATTTGTCTGTGGGTGATAAGTCGTACTCCTTTTTAGCACCGTCCCCTGCAGTCTGAACAATTCTTTCCATAAATGGTTGAAGAACACTTTATCTCTGTCTGATACTATCGCCTCTGGCACTCTATGCAGTCTAACTATCTCCCTGATGAATACTGACGCTACTGTCACCGCAGTGTATGGATGGCGTAGAGGAATAAAATGAGCATATTTGCTTAATCTATCCACTACCACCAAAATCACAGTGAATCCCTCAGAGCGGGGTAGCCCATCAATGAAGTCCATAGATATCTACTCCCAGACTCGTCCTGGTAACGCCAATGGCTGCAGTAACCCCCCTGGTGACATGGCTAGATACTTATTTCTTTGGCACACCTCGCACCTGGATACCATCTCTCCACATCTATGCATACTGTACTCCGCCGCTAGTCTCCTGTAGGTCTTTAGCACTCCTGAATGAGCTCCCACTGCAGTTTCATGGAACTCCTGGAGCAATTGTGGGATGTGTACTGACGTTCTGGGTAACACAAATCTCCCCTGGTACAACAATCTCTCCCCCTCCAACTAGTATCCTGAATGGCCGCCCTTTTCCTTCAGTAAGTCAGCTCTGATCTTGCTTAGTTTCTCATTCTTGGCACTCTCCTCCTTTAGGGCTTCCCAATCTATCATCATTGGGACCGATATAGCCAATGTCTGTAGCTCCCCCATGCACCTGGACAGGGCATCTGCTACCTTATTTTCTACCCCTGGCATGTACTGAATCTCAAAATCATATCCGAGCAGTTTGGAGAGCCACCTCTGATGCTCTTCTGTCACCATGCGCTGCTCCAGCAAATATTTCAGGTTCCGCTGGTCGGTCCTGACGACGAAATGTCTTCCAAGTAAGTAGGGGCGTTACTTTTGGATGGCCAAAACAATTGCCATCAACTCCCTCTCATAGACAGATTTAAGCCGGGCTCTGGCAGTCAACACCTGATTGAAATATGCAATGGGCCTGTGACTCTACATCAACACTGCTCCTAGTCCGTATCCCGATGCATATGTCTCTACTATAAAGACCTGAGTAAAATCTGGTAAAGCTAAGATCGGGACTATGGTCATAGCTTTCTTCAACTTCTCAAATGCTGTCGTAGCTGCCTCCCCCTATAAGAACCCATCTTACTTCAACTGCTCAGTGAGTGACCAAGCTATACTGCTGTATCCCTTTACAAATCTTATGTAGTAACCTGTAAGCCCTAGGAATCCCCTCAGCTCCTTTAGATTTTTGGGCAGTGGCCACTTAAGCATGGCCTCAATCTTGGACTGATCTGCTGCTACCCCTTCCTTGGATACCACATGCCCCAAGTATTCTACATTAGCTTGTGCGTAGCAGCACTTCTTCAAGTTAGCCCTCAACTGGTGCTCCTGGAGAACCTCTAACACCTTCTTTAAGTGTCCCCAATGCTCCTCCTATGTTCTGCTATATCCTAAGATGTCATCGAAGAATACCAACACGAATGGCCTGAGATACTATTTGAAGATCTTATTCATGAGTGCCTGGAACGTAGCTGGGGCATTAGTG